CTACTTGAACAAATACTAATAATCTTAATAAAAAAATAAAATATTTGAAATAAAAAAAATGTTAGTTGCTCTTTAAAACCAGGGAAATTTTGAAAAATGGAACTTTTGGCTCTTCCGCTTCAAAAGGTTGCCGACCCCTGACCTAAGTGAAGCTTGGCAGTATGCCTAGTAAATGTATATATATATATATATATATATATATATATATATATATATATATATATATATATATATATATATATATATATATATATATATATATATATATATATATATATATATATATATATATATATATATATATATATATATATGTATATATACTTTTTTAGAGGGGGGGGGGGTGACACCATTAAGTACCGCACCGGGTGACAACCGACCTCGCTACGCCACTGGTTGTATGAGCACACTTTTGAATGTTTGTTGCTATTATTGTGATACACAAGTGTACAAATCATGTTTTTAAATGAAATTCAGTAAGAACATAAAACTTACAACAATTTAAAGGTCCTGAATATTTAGGATAACCAACTATTCACGCAATCTTTGCATGTTGATGTTCATGTTGGTTGCAATACTGTAGTGACTGGTTTCGGAATTTTAAAAATGTTTTCATTCAGGTTCGGCTACTCCGTCATCTCTCAGTGTGCTACAATATTAACTGGATTACCTCCCTTCTAAAATAATACACGTTTATTGTTTCTTACATTTGCTCTCGAGATTGAATGACCCAGGATAAATCTGCAGCAAAGGCTAGGTAATAAGATATATTCGCTCCTATTTAAAATAGACAGAAGGTAAATTGTTATTTTTTTGGACGCCTCATATACTGACTTGGTATAGGGTCGGCTATTGGCGCAGAAAATAGATATTATGTGTATACGTTATTGGTGATTTTAGAAACTATATTTAGTAATTAATAATCATCTTAATCAATTTATTTGAAAATTGTAGAAAGCGATTGTAAGTATTTAGAGAACTTCATAAATCCTGATTCACCATCTATTCAACATGATGATAATTTAATGTTAAAACGAATAGTTAAAAAACTTTATAAAATAAGCATTTAAAAAAGAAAATAAAACAAACTTGCTTTCTTAAGTAAAATCATTTGTAGCTAAAATAAGTAAGATATTTTATTCGCAAACTGAACTTTTATTGAAGAAAATAAGTTCATTGACGATTTTCAAAGCAAGTTGATTTTTCTATTCTTTTTTTCAACCTTTTAGTAATTCATTATAGATGAAGTCTACAGCAAAAAACCAGCCAACCGTGACCAAACAGTTTCTCCAACACGAATACAGATTTCTTATTAATTTATAAACACAAGTTTTTTTGTTCTAAAACTGACACAATAAGTTGCAAAGCCTCTTTAAACTTCGGTGGTCAAAAATTCAATTAAATTTCACGCGCACAGACGTAAAAGTATCCATGACAACAGGTAAACAAAACAAGTCTAGACACGCCCCCTGTTATCTAACAACAATGATACAATCAACGGTTTTAATTATTCATCCCTCCTGATTATACGAGATACAAAAGTGCTAATCGTTTGTTATACATTGTCACATCAATGGTTTTTGATGTCAGTTCTGATAATTTCATACGTCAAGAATGAAAAAAATTATACTTATGAAGTATTTTTCTATGTTCTTTAAGGTAGATACATGACTACAGTAGAATCTATACATTCCACTAAATCTTCACTACACCCTTACATGTACACAACCAAGACCAATAGTGTATACTTCACAAAACTTCGCTACATTCTACTTGTATACAACCTAGGCCAATAGTGTATACTTCACAAAACTTTCGCTACACCCTACTTTACTTGGGCACAACCTAGGCCAATAGTGTATACTTCACAAAACCTTCGCTACATTCTACTTGTATACAACCTAGGCCAATAGTGTATACTTCACAAAACTTTTGCTACATTCTACTTGTATACAACCTAGGCCAATAGTGTATACTTCACAAAACTTTCGCTACATTCACAAAACTTTCGCTACACCCTACATGTACACAACCTAGCCTTAAATATTTAAAGAGACGATCTCACCCATAGCCCATGTTTGGACGTCTGGTTTTCTCATTGCACTTCGTCCAGCACCGTCTTGTAGACAACTTTATAGTGCCAAGTATATGGTGCTGTATGCAGATGTTCTGCTCATATTGTCCTCACCTTTATAGTGCCAAGTATATGGTGCTGTATGCAGATGTCCTGCTCTGATTGTCCTCACCTTTATAGTGCCAAGTATATGGTGCTGTATGCAGATATTCTGCTTATATTGTCCTCACCTTTATAGTGCCAAAAGTATATGAGGCTGTATGCAGATGTTCTGCTTATATTGTCCTCACCTTTATAGTGCCAAGTATATGGTGCTGTATGCAGATATTCTGCTTATATTGTCCTCACCTTTATAGTGCCAAGTATATGGTGCTGTATGCAGATATTCTGCTTATATTGTCCTCACCTTTATAGTGCCAAGTATATGGTGCTGTATGCAGATATTCTGCTTATATTGTCCTCACCTTTATAGTGCCAAGTATATGGTGCTGTATGCAGATATTCTGCTTATATTGTCCTCACCTTTATAGTGCCAAGTATATGAGGCTGTATGCAGATGTTCTGCTCATATTGTCCTCACCTTTATAGTGCCAAGTATATGGTGCTGTATGCAGATATTCTGCTCGGATTGTCCTCACCTTTATAGTGCCAAGTATATGGGACTGTATGCAGATGTTCTGCTCAGATTGTCCTCACCTTTATAGTGCCAAGTATATGGTGCTGTATGCAGATGTTCTGCTCATATTGTCCTCACCTTTATAGTGCCAAGTATATGGTGTTGTGTTTGGTCCATTCGTTAACGCGAGAATGCATCGAGAAGGATGTTATTGTTAAATCTTTTTTTAGTTTTATTTATTGAATTTACTATTTGGTAAACTACATTAAAATTACTAACGTAATTTCTAAATAATGTTTAAATTGACATTCTTGTATTGTCACAAGAGACGAATCCGCCTGGAAAATGTGAGCATAACTGCTGCAGAAGTAGGTCAAACATCCGACAAACAAAACCAAAAAATAAAAAACCAACAGAAGTTATGAACTAAATAAATGCTAATAATAAAATAAATAATAAAGTCTAGTGAACAGTGTGGGCATAGCATATCTTGCAACAAATAAATAGTAATAAGATCTGGGGAACAGTGTGGGCATATCTTGCAACAACAAAAATTGATTTCGCGGCTCAGTTGGGTTAACTAGCTAATAAATTTGGGGATTCTGATCAGTGACCCGTGTCAGACATGCCGACTGGAGAATTCTTTTCATCATCAAAATCCTAAACCGCAACTGGTCGGCGTCTAGTATCTTGAGAAAAGATCTTTCACAATGCTAGCGGAATGCATAACTTATAAGTCTGGACCTTAATGATGCGTTAAAGACATTCACTGAGACGATTGATACCGACATTGTGTGAAGAAGAAAGTTACAGCTGACAGATCACAGGCAGTGGTGTCTATTGTTGACAGATCACAGGCAGTGGTGTCTATTGTTGACATATCACAGGCAGTGGTGTCTATTTTTTCTCCACTGAAGACAGCGACCATCAGCTAAACCGATCTGCATGGTCACACATTGAAAAACGCATTACGTTTACTAATGCTAAAAATAGAAATGGACTTCTCTTCCACAATACTGACAATGATAATATCAGGTAACACACGGGTTTAAATGCGTAGCTCTGTTCAACAGTTACAAAAAAGTAACGCCTTCTCAAAAATGTTCAAGTTCCTAACAGCAACTGACGACTGCCTACAGTTTTCTAAGCTATAGAAATCTGAAACAATGTTGACAATCTAAATACAAAAACGTTAACAATACATTAGTCTATGTCGAAACGATACAATGCTGAACAATTTAGGCGCAATCACCAGCTAAAGACGACGGAAACTTATTGAACCACAGAGGTAGATAATTTGGCTCTATGAACGCTCCGCAAGATCGCAGTAATATCTTTGTAAGATTTATAGTTGATAATTTTGCTTTGAATGTTCTTCTATTAGAGATTCTCATATCATAATAGTCTAAGTAAGATACGAAGTCTCATGGTTTTCATTATGTTTAACTATCGTTCGTAGATGTAAAAACATTATTGTATTTTGTTTTTTAGCATCCTCTTAAGCGTGTTATTTATTCTGTTTTATTGTCGCTATTTCAATCAAGTCAACATTCACATTAAAAAAAAAAACGTCAAGCTTATTGTCAAGCAGACTGGTTAATTAATAACTCCTACTGTGTTTATTGATTGCATTGAAACTTCATCAGGCCGTTTCCTTTGCCGTCTAGAGTATTATTTTTGACGTAACTGTTGCCGTCAAGAGTGCTGTCTTATCACTCAGAGAATATTTTCCTAAGATTTTGTTGGGAGTTTTCTGTTGATATGCAGTTGTAGATGTACAATTTCAGAAGTGCACACAACGATACTCTAAATAAAAATGGACATAATATGCGCAATGCTGGTTCTGATAATAACAGGTAATGTTTTTCTTTTTTAATACTCTTAATGGCCGTGTGTGTGTGTGTATGTGTGTGTGTCTGTGTGTGTGTGTGTTTGTGTGTTTTACATATCTACATAGATGATGCTCAATTTTGTTTTATAATCACAACTGTTGTTATATATTTCGCGAATTATTTTACCAAAATATATTTTAAATTATTTTGTAATTCGACAATAATTGTTTTTCATAATATATATAATATATAAATATATAATTATATTTATTTAAATGATAAATTATCTTAATTAAAAAGCATAAATTAATATTTTCTATATCTTTAATTGATTGTGTGTTGGTTTTTACAATTACTCTATTTTTATTTACTTATTTTTTATGGTCGCCATGGTGTTGCTTTTGGTTTTTAAATCTTAAGGAATAATTTTATGTGGATGTGAAATTGTTTTAAGATTTATATTTCAGCTAGCCCAAGCATGTGTCAAGTAAAAAACATAGAGTTCACTTTACGAAACAAAAGTGACCTGATCATGTTAGCTATGGATGAGCAGCACAGCGCAGAAGGAGATTTAGATTGTGCCATGAAATGTGCAATGAGCCAAAGTGATTGTGACAGTTTTATTTATGACGACAACAGTAAAGACTGCAAGTTAGGTAGGTTTTTAAACCGCCACAATCTATAGATTCTAGTATGGAACATAGCGATACTCACACACATAAGCTGATAGTTAAACACATTTGCTTTCATATTTCAGGTTTTTGTACTCTACCAAAGGACGTCGTCACCACACCAATACCTGCACCACCAACCAACTCTAAACTTTTCACAAGTACATTTTACTTGGATGGGAAAGTTTCTGTCGGGAATGGAATAATGGGATCTTGTCACGCGGCTGCTTGCCTTGGTTTGTAGAACGTCACACTTCAGTTCTCAGTTAATGATAAAACTATTGCTGCACAAGTACTTCATTGTCATTTTATATTTCAACAGCTTAATTTTTAAAAATATTTGTTCATTGATGTCAAAATGGATAGACATAATTCTGGTAATGTTAATTAATGTAATTATGTTTCAGCACAAGAAAAAATTACAAAAATACTGACCAGAGTTCTGTATGACCCAGCTGTTTATAAATCTTGTGCCGACGTAAAGAACTCCAGCAACCCCAGACAACTTTTACAACTGTCGTCTGGTCTTGTCGTCATGTGTGACACAGTGACAGATGGAGGGGGCTGGACAATTTTCCAACGTCGTGTCTCCGGTGTCGTGGACTTTTACCGCAACTGGGAGGAATACAAACACGGGTTTGGAGACTTCGACGCTGGAGAATTTTACCTCGGCAACGAAAACATTTACTGTCTGACAGCAAACAGGTCTTATGAATTCAGAATCGACATGACTTACAATAGAACAAGCTACTACGCTGCGTATTCAGGATTTAAATTTTATCCTGAAAGTGAATTTTACAAGTTGTATTTTGATGGGTACTCTGGAAATGCCGGTAACTCAATCAACGACAAAAACAACAACCAAAAGTTCAGCACCTACGACCAGGATAACGACAGCGGCAGCAGGAATTGTGCTGTTGTCTACCACGGAGCATGGTGGTACGCTGATTGCCAGAACTCGAACCTCAATGGCCTGTACGGGAGTACAGAGTACGGTGTGGGTCTAAACTGGCTGGCACTAACTGGCGATTATGGGAGTCTCGACAGTTGTGAGATGAAAGTCAGAGCCAAATAATGAAATAAAATGGAGGATTGGGGTAAGGAAGGATAAAAATAAGTGTATACTAAGAAAGAATGAGCAGATCTCTGTGTTGGGAAAAAAATGTGTTCTCGAATTTGAAGGAAATTTGCCTTGACTTTGTGTTGTATTTCATTTCTTTATTATTTAGTGTTTTTACTGTCTCTATGCATGTTAGGTGTACATGTGAAGTGAGATTTTTAGTTTTATTAAATTGCATTCACTAATGTTAATTCATCCGTGGGCCCTGATTATTTTGTTGTTTATATTTTCTCTCTATATTTTGTTATGATTAGTTGTTACGGAAACAACAGTGTTTTGGTCTAAGACGTTTTTTTTACTCAAACCACTGTTTCTTAATATTTACAGTTCCAAGCGTGTATGTTCACTTCATGACATAATGAATTAGTAAAAACTATTGTAATATTATGTCTAAACAAATTATTTTTGTAGCTGCTTAGTCTTAGAGTTTTCAGTAATCCATGTTGTGGATTTACCGTTGGATTCTTCATGGATAAAAATCTAATTTTAGAAAGGCTTAGGCGGACACTGACAACTTTAAAAAAGTTTTCAGTCGTTTAAACCAAGTTTTATTCATACGTTATATAAATAAACATGTACAGTGAGCCATATTTCATGTTATAATAACACGCATATCATTACAATGTGTATAGTTAGGCCTATGAAAAAATAAATAGTACATTATTTTTCTGTTGCATTGTTCTTTTTTTTTTTTTAAAAACAATGAAATTATCATATTTAATACAAGCTTTTGATAAAATTAATTTGAAAAACGAACGTATGTGTTAATTTCATTGAATGAGAGTATTTTCTTTAAACAATTAACAAAGGATATGCACTTATACAATACAGTTCAAGATTTTTCTCTCTATTAACATAGAAAGTGTAAACACGAATCCAAACATTGAGAGCATCGAATTACAAAGTCTCAAAGTCCTTGTTTTAAAATGGTTCATTAAGCGCGGAGTGATGCAGGGTAACCGTCAAGCATAGACGGTCATTACTTGTGACTCGATACGTTGGTCTGCATATTTAATGGACAACTTTTTATTTATTTTTTCCTGCGTCTTTCATTTTGGTGATCAACGTCATCAAACGATGGATCATGTGATCGTCTAACCGCCATCCGCCATTTTCTTGACTGCATAAGAAAGTGTAACGCATTGAAAATATTACCTCGTATATAATAGAGTATACCAGGTACCGTGTTCAATAGAGTACACGGGGTATCGGAGTACACGGAGTATCGGATTACACGGAGTATCGTATGCAATAGAGTACACGGGGTATCGGAGTACACGGAGTATCGTATACAATAGAGTACACGGGGTATCGGAGTACACTGAGTATCGTATACAATTGAGTACACGGGGTATCGGAGTACACGAGGTATCGAAGTACAATAGAGTACACGGGGTATCGTATACAACTGCCTACACAACGTATCGCGTACAATATGTGATAATAAAGATAAATATTTGAACTATTTGAGACATCAACTGCAAAGTCTACTGACGACATGCTTCATCTAGTGAAGATATTGTCACGTCTACTGACGACATGCTTCATCTAGTGAAGATATTGTCACGTCTACTGACGACATGGTTCATCTAGTGAAGACATTGTCACGTCTACTGACGACATGCTTCATCTAGTGAAGATATTGTCACGTCTACTGACGACATGCTTCATCTAGTGAAGACATTGTCTCGTCTACTGACGACATGGTTCATCTAGTGAAGACATTGTCACGTCTACTGACGACATGCTTCATCTAGTGAAGATATTGTCACGTCTACTGACGACATGCTTCATCTAGTGAAGATATTGTCTCGTCTACTGACGACATGCTTCATCTAGTGAAGATATTGTCACGTCTACTGACGACATGCTTCATCTAGTGAAGACATTGTCTCGTCTACTGACGACATGCTTCATCTAGTGAAGACATTGTCACGTCTACTGACGACATGCTTCATCTAGTGAAGACATTGTCACGTCTACTGAAGACATGTTTCATCTAGTGAAGACATTTCGTCTACTGACGACATGCTTCATCTAGTGAAGACATTGTCACGTCTACTGAAGACATGTTTCATCTAGTGAAGACATTGTCACGTCTACTAAAGACATGCTTTTTCTAGTGAAGACATTGTCTCGTCTACTGAAGACATGCTTCATCTAGTGAAGACATTGTCACGTCTACTGACGACATGCTTCATCTAGTGAAGACATTGTCACGTCTACTGACGACATGCTTCATCTAGTGAAGATATTGTCACGTCTACTGACGACATGCTTCATCTAGTGAAGACATTGTCTCGTCTACTGACGACATGGTTCATCTAGTGAAGACATTGTCACGTCTACTGACGACATGCTTCATCTAGTGAAGATATTGTCACGTCTACTGACGACATGCTTCATCTAGTGAAGATATTGTCTCGTCTACTGACGACATGCTTCATCTAGTGAAGATATTGTCACGTCTACTGACGACATGCTTCATCTAGTGAAGACATTGTCTCGTCTACTGACGACATGCTTCATCTAGTGAAGACATTGTCACGTCTACTGACGACATGCTTCATCTAGTGAAGACATTGTCACGTCTACTGAAGACATGTTTCATCTAGTGAAGACATTTCGTCTACTGACGACATGCTTCATCTATTGAAGACATTGTCACGTCTACTGAAGACATGTTTCATCTAGTGAAGACATTGTCACGTCTACTGAAGACATGCTTTATCTAGTGAAGACATTGTCTCGTCTACTGAAGACATGCTTCATCTAGTGAAGACATTGTGTGGTCTACTGACGACATGCTTCATCTAGTGAAGACATTGTCTCGTCTACTGATGACATGCTTCATCTAGTGAAGACATTGTCTCGTCTACTGATGACATGCTTCATCTAGTGAAGACATTGTCTCGTCTACTGAAGACATGTTTCATCTACTGAAGACATTGTCTCGTCTACTGACGACATGGTTCATCTAGTGAAGACATTGTCTCGTCTACTGACGACATGCTTCATCTAGTGAAGACATTGTCTCGTCTACTGACGACATGGTTCATCTAGTGAAGATATTGTCACGTCTACTGACGACATGCTTCATCTAGTGAAGACATTGTCTCGTCTACTGAAGACATGCTACATCTAGTGAAGACATTGTCTCGTCTACTGACGATGGGGAACATCTAGACTACGAGTCTACTTGCTACAGTAGAAAGTGCAGCAGCTACGATATGTTGGTTACTTTGTAAATATTTCATGTTATTATTTCTCATTGTTTTCTTTAATGAACAACATCACGCCTATCCAGCGGTCTTGCTGTCAATGGATCTCACATTGTGTTAGCCTAGAGCAGAAACTCGATGCGAGTGGTTTGTCTCACGAGACATCTATTATGGATCAAGTTTGTTTTTGTTTTTCTTGCCGAACTTGCGTCCATGTAAAAAAATACTGATTATCATTTTGTAAAGTCGATAACAATATGGTTATATTATTGACCATTGCAATCGATATTGCTGAGAACTTTGTTAGAAATAAAACTAGTCGCTACCTAATTAAATTTTGCATTGCTAATGTATCCTGTGATTCTATTTTTCATTGTACTCGTGGATTGAAAGAAATATTTACCACGAGCCGACCCGCGGCGTATCATATGCCGCTATTTAGTTGTTTTATTTTCTACTTTTCAGTAACTCATAATTCAGTAATTCGACAGTACCAATGCTGCCACTTAAAATATTTGCTTTAAAACACTATCAGTAGCTCGTTAAGGATGATTACCCCCCACCCCCACCCTCCATCCCCCCCAATCCCTCCCTCCCCCGTGAAAGCAGCCTCCTCGTAGTTACCTCCCCTAAGTTTAAAATCGTTTCAAACTAAATTATCTGCCCCTAATAGCCGTCACTTCCTTCCTTCCTTCCTAATACGGAAACCGGCCCAGAAGGTTCACTTCCATTAGCCAGGCAGGCCTCAGTGTGGCAATCCCCGAGAGAGTTTCCCACACCTCGGTCGCTACTTCCGTGGGCTCTCACCGGGCTTTCCTTTCCCACCCACCAGACGCGGGACGTCGTCCTACCGCCTGGTACCCAGCTTGATCGTGGGGGGCATTCCGCCAGATCAAAACCCTCTAGCTGCTGTTATCTGCCACTGGCCATTCCGCACCCACTAGGGGGGACATGAGTTTGGTCGGACCAGTGGCATTATTCCGAAGCCCCGTTAAGGCCACCGCTTAAAGTCAAAAGAAAGATCTGGCGGCGGACTCTTTTGGTTCCCGGCTCTACGATTGTAAACATTTAGCGTGAACCACAGCTCACCAGACCATGTGGGCCTAGAGTGTTTTCTAGGGTATCCAAGAAGATAATTATATATATAGATGTTACTGCTGCCAAAAAAAGGTATATAAGCTGTCGATGCTAGATATAAAATGAAAATCTTTAGTCATTCAGAGGTCCAGAGTGTGTGATATTCGTACGATAAATAAGAATATTTATTTATAATATTTTATTTTTATTTCCAGTCTAAGGATCTACGTCTATCATCTAACAATCGAAAAATTGAACGATTTAACTCTCAAATGGTCAATACCCCGACAAAATAGGTGGTATTCAACGCAGAAATCTTAAGCGTCTTTACTCTGAAACAATAAAGCAATTACATCAATTAAATTTCTTGCAATTATTCAAAGAACATAACTTACAACAGAAACTACATTATAAATATTGAATATAAAAGATGTCACCTTGGTGTAAAAATGTAGGATCCTGTAGAATAGGCGCGTCTGTGAAGTGAAGATATTTATAGTTGTAATATTCCACCGTGTGGTACTTAGTTGTGTGTGTTGATTGTGTTGATTGTGTTGATTGTGTTGATTGTGTTGATTGTGTTGATTGTGTTGATTGTGTTGATTGTGTTGATTGTGTTGATTGTGTTGATTGTGTTGATTATGTTGATTGTGTTGA